TGAACTGAATGAAAAATGTAAGGATCAGACCTCCCCCACAAATACCCCAGTAACTCGCCGGGTTACTTCCGGACTTCCTCGTCAATCCTTCTTTGTTCGAACGACATTCTCTTGTAGCAAGTTGTGCGAATTTGAGTACTGTATCTCTCGAATAGATCAACGAGTAACGCTTAGTCGAATTCGGATCCAAAAACTTCAACAAAACGAACGATCCAGCAGTTTTCTATGTTACTGCATGATTAAACGATCAAATAATCAAATAAAAACTGTACAGACCTCAGAGTGATCTCGAAACAACTTGAAAACAAGAGCCAAGTGTTACTGTGAGCGTATTTCAACAAATCTGAACGGAAGAAAATAAGCCTGGGTGAGAACGGCACGCTCACCGTCACGCCGCACACGATTGAGCTAAATGTGAGCGCTCAGGTCGCGATTAAAACAAGTAGGGTACGAATGAAGTAGATAACCAAACAAAGTCAAATGGTTGGGTCGAAGCGTAAATATGCAATGGGAGTGGAATGTTCATGTATGTGTGAGGTGGTTGCTGCTGAGTAAATGGAACGTGAAATTCAAGGAAATGTGGAACCGATATAGACTGACTGGACATTACAGGAGGGATTTTCACAGATCGATCAATACAGCGGTATCAAACAATTTTAAGTGATCTGACCAGTGTGCAGTAGCAACGCGCAATGCTAGGTGGGATTTATGTAGACTACGGTACATCCTAACATGCAGACAACCGGAAGTCTTCGTTCCCGTTTCAAAGCCATAGTCACATCACACCTGAAGTAGTGTGTACAGACTTGATCACTCTTATTCAAGGAGGACGCTGCCTGTTTAGAGAAAGTTCAGAGATTGGCCACCAGAATGGTTGAAGGCCAAAGGGGGGTGAACATATGAAGAAAGACTAGATGCTCTGGGGCTTTTCTCATTAGAAAGAAAGAGACTATGAGGGGACCTGATAGAAACCTTCGAAATCCTGAAGGGAATATCGGGGATAGGAGCGGACAGCCTCTTCACATTAGCTTCCCAACAAGGCACTAGGGGGCATGAGTTCAAGCTCATGAAGCAGAGGTGTCGACTAAACAAACGGAAGTACTTTTTCAGCAATGAGATAGTCGACAGTTGGAACAGGCTTCCCAAGGAAATAGTAAGCATTCAAACAGTGCAGGCCTTTAAGAATGGACTTGATAAGCGATGGGTGGAACTATTCCCATCTCTGGCAGTGTAAACGAGTGTAGGTGTGCTGAATGTTTAGGATGCCATTTCCCTTTTTCATTGGTGCACGTAATGGAACGCTCACGTTAGTTTTCCTTTTTCTGTCACCCTTTTCTTTATTACAAATAACTTATTTTCCATCGCTTATGAAGTACAACTCTTGCGTTCTCCAAGTCTTCATTTACACTTTATGCTCACCCGCCGGTAGAGCGTGCCTGGCTTGAAGTTCTCGCATGGAAAGCGGTTCAGGCGATGATCCTTTGTTGACTGGAGCCCACTNATCCAACATCCCTTTTCAGTACTCTCTGTTCTAGTGGTAATTCAAACCAAAAGAAAACACAGATACCTTTCAAGGACCCGGGACATTTGGGCAACAGCCTCGAACCCGTGAATCACTTCAAGACTTCAAGACTTCAAGATCTCATTTGCACATCAATCTGCCTGTCACCCAGAAACCCCGAAGTGAGGGATCAAGAACTTCTCCTGCAGTCGAAACACAGTGGGATCGCATCAGAGCTCGCAAGTGCGAGGAACTGGACGCATTGGCAACAGCCGCATGTCCTGTGTATCCGACCTGACCTAATCTGAACAATTTACTCGCCAACTTGGTGAGATGAGATCCTATTTCTCATTCGTATTTCAGCAGAGCTGAGTGCCCACGTAGTGAGTATACCATCGAAGGAAATCTGGACGCCCTATTGGCCGTAACCGTATTCAGTCCTGTGCAACCTGACCTGAACTGAAATGACTGACTGACTGAACGACGTAGTAAACCTACCACCAGAACCCGGGCTGCTCTGAAACTTCGGTTTCCCAGCTCGTGAATCTCCGTGAATCCCCACGACGCGCGGCATATGATATTTTGCGTTACATCCTTAGATGGCGTTGGTTCACCGTGCGTCGCTCGGTTTGGATGCCCTAGCGGTGGTGAAAACAGTACCGCTTGCAGGCGAGAAGTTGAATAATTCTCAAGTTGTTTCGAGAAGAAAGAATGCACTCCATTCACCCTCTATGAAACACCCACGCATTGGGAAGTATAATCCTTTCGGTAGTTCGGTAACATGCGGTCTTGGAGGTAAAGTAGATTCGTCGGTTTACTAGCATAATTAGTTCCAATGCAGGTTCGGATGGTGCATACAGATGTGACAAAGGTTCCGGATTTCAGTGCGTACCGCGCGGATTCCACTAAAAGTCCTTCTGCTCGGAACGCTGACTCCAATGTTGAGCGGAAGATTTTCGGATACACACTTATGTTCGGTAAGTTTCTTATTCGTATAAAGACATACAAAGTCAGGCTCTTTGTATTGATACATCGAATGTTTTTTCTTCGATTCTTCTCGCTTGACTTTCGAGCAGACGTTTCTAGCTTCACTGATAAGTGTCGTCTTAAAGTGATCCAGTTTGGAAGCTTTTGCTCAAGTGTCATGGATTATTGGAAAGTGTACGCCCTTTTATTTACGTGTTCTAGAACAATAAAACAGAGGTAACCTCTTCCGCGTTGGCCTAAAAGTGATTTGGACTTAAGTATGCAATTTGTGTTTAACCATTTTGAAGAAAAGGATTTTAGGATAAATTTTATAAATGTCCCTTCGTCGTATTTTCAGGCATTTACCTCACATTCCCGAGGAGAAAGGTGAAGAGGAATCCAAGTTGCAAGCTGCTGTTGAAGAAAATTCGTGCTAATTGACCGGTCTACAAAAGCACGATCCAGTAGCGCTATCGTAATGATTGATTTTTACTACGAGTATTCAAGCACCAGTATGGGATAGTGACGGGAGAGCCGGGCTCTACTAAAATCATTTTTAGTATCTAAGACAAAACTTTTGACGGATCCTGAATGCAAGAAACGCACTCATGCGTATATGTGGTGCCATGTGGCTATGACCCGTTGTAATTCGTTATGCGACCCGAAACAGCGGTAGATTTTCACCCACGGTGGTTGGAGTTATCGGAAAGGAAATAGCGAGAATATTTTTCAGTATACTGAATCCCATTCATCATCATCAATGTTCAGCGTAATACAATGAAGCGAACTTCACTGATCGCTGCTAAACTCAATGCATACCAGGTGAATGAGAATGTGTAGAGAGGATAGGGATTAGGCCTGGTCTTTGAGACAGGAAGAGAAAGCGAACCTTTGTGGTCAACACCCAGAGAGCACAGTCCATCTGTGCATACATACTACTTCAAACATTCTGCTCTAATAAGAAGTGACTGCAAGATCACCTTTGCTGTCGGTTTGCTGCCATGACCTCCAGTGTCTCCAACCGTGCGGTTACTCAGTCTCTGGACTCGAACCCGGGAAACGGGGACNGACACCTACTCTACCTAATCCCTCTGTGTATTTCTTGATGCCTCGTCTCCACGTCATCTGCTGGTCTCCAAGTGGCTTTCTCCAGTCTTGAGCGTCCATTGCAAACAAGGCGCTCTGTGGTAGACGACCGTCGGACATAGGCAAAACGTGTTCTGCCCAACGGAGCCTATTGAACTGAATTTGATGCGATAGTGAGTTCTTGTGCAATGCATTCTCACCCGACGACTTAGTTCCAATTTACTCCCTCTACTTGGAACAGACTACCTATGGATGGGTTGTCGATAACTGCTAATACCCACTTCAAAGTTATGATCAAAGAGGTACTAGTCCGACGGTATCAAGATACGCACAGGCGGTTTCCACAAAGTTTCGACTCAGCGGATTAATGCAGCTAAACTAAAAGCATCAGTTTACTCAAAAATCTGTTTGAAGGATGCTACCAATACTCCGTACTTTAAACTGATAAGGTACACACGACTGACATGCATCATCTCTCTAGATATAGAGGACTTTGTTACATGGATTATCAAGTGAGAAACAGTAATCTTTAGCGATGAGGGAACTTGGGTGACTCTGCTGCTTTCCCCTTTATTAACAAGATTTGCGTTAGGGATCGGAATACCTCAGTTCATAGGTGTTTAGTGGCCGTTCACTGATGATTTAGACTACAGCCTCTTCGAAGATTGCCTCCGAAAGTGAAGCTAGATTTTCTTATGTCGTCCTGATCGGTGCACCTGAGCAGCTGCCATCCGATATGTCCTCGTTCCCCCAGAGCTGTTCGCAAAGAAGTAAAATACCTTTCTTCATCGTCTGGTTCGGTTGTTTGTGCTTGTCACGAGGAAAAGTTTAAGCATGAGCTAGGAGCTCCACGAATTGGTGAGGATGAAAAAGGGATCAATATAAGTGTAGTTCATTTGTCAGCAGACTGCCAATGGGCTGGATTTTGTGGCGTGTCCAAATACTGGGTCGCAGGAATCAAAATTCCTGATGGAGAACCTACAGATCCCAACCCGCCAGCACTAAAATCAGAATACGTGGCGTCCGCAAAAGTTATATAGTGTTCTGTGCCGACCATAGAAGTTCACTGTTTTATTCCCTCAAAACAGGTGCACTCCTTATCCATCTTACACTAGTACCTATTCCCCTGAAATAAACTCCAACAATTCACGCCTAGATACTGCCAACCCCAGCACTTTATGTTAATAAAAAGCCTTTTTAAGCGCTGACCATGGAAAACCTGAAATCAGTACACGGCTTTCATACAAAAATCCCTGATTTCACTGTTGTGAAGGCGAACCTCCTGCACTGTGGCGCAGTATACGTAACTCTGTTAATCATGACTACACTACAACCCGGAATCTAATTTTGATTTTGATGTTTTGTCATAGGGTAATAAAATTCTTTCGCTATCTCATGTTTACTACGCAACAGTATTGTGTGCGCGCCACTACTGACGCACTTGTTTATGCTACCTTTTGCTTTATTTCGGCATGTAGCTGGTGCGGTTATGGCTACAACTGCTGCTAAGTACACTGTTAAGACATTCATCATGCCTTTGGGTCCCACGGCCAAAACGCTGGCTGAAGCGTCGACCGAGGTCAATCTTGCAGCTATCCCCGAAGGCAAAAACTTGGTTGTAAAGTGGCGCAACAAGCCCCTTTTCATAAGACATCGCACAGCAGAGGAAATCAGTCGGGAACGCGCGGTGCCCCTGAGCAACCTAAGGGATCCTCAGCGTGATGAAGATCGAGTGCAGCAAGACAAATGGTTAATCTGCCTGGGCGTATGCACTCACTTGGGTAAGTTGGTATTTTTAATTCCCGTCCTAAACTTTTGTAATGCATTCCTCAAAGACCATACAAAGACTTTGAGTATAATGAGAACACAAATTGGCTTGTTTGCCAATTTGTGTTCTCATTATGAGCTCCGTGGGTCCTTTTAAACACTGAGTATAGTTATGTTCGGCTTCCGGCGTAAATTGCTGTTACCCAGTACAAAAATTTTGCCGCTGAGACAGCTTATCTTATCGAGAGGTATGCTAGTATACTTACCAAAAGCTTGGCGTTATGCAGTATGGAACAGCTTTCACCTCAGCACTATATTCGGTTGTCCTTGGGCCGGTGCTGCTTTATGATGCAGAGGTTTTACGGTTGCAGTAACGGGATAAAGACATTATGGGTGTTCAAAAACCGGTGTCTACGCCGCATTGCACAGGTTTTGGTCTTGTTTACCCGTCGAAGAAAGTACTCAACTCTCAGATTGCGATAGTCAGGGCATGAGTTACGCGTATTACTGCACCCTNCACCCTTTCCCGTCAGGCTTTAGCCAAAACCCGCAATGCATTAACCTCGACCCGCATTTCTTTAGCCAAAACCCGCAATGCTTTAGCCACGACCCGTAGTCCTTTGACTTTGATGCATAAACTTGGGTCATATTGCTGTAGGCTAGTCAGATGAAAAAGTATCAGAATACTCTTAAGTCAACGAATGTTGAAACATTTTGTTTTCTACAAATATTCGCAAAGATTGATTAGGAAATTAGATGTGGCGATCACATGCTGCACATGTTGATTTCAGTTTCAGTCCAGTTTGTACACCCATTGACCATTACTCTCGTTCGCCGGTTTTGATTGATATCTTTGGCTGCCCATGTTTCCTATGTCTTATATCGTTCAGTNTCTCAGTTAAGTATCGAATGAGCGTATATACTGGTTGACAACACGTAATGAAATGATAAATATGATCCAAAGGAACATGTATGATACACAATGGAAAGTTTTTAATCTGAAATGAGTTAAGCAGGTTTGAAAATGTAGGCAGAAAGTTCGTTGAACGATCGAGGTTACACTAAGAGATATACTTGCGGAAAAACTTCTGTCGATAGAATCCCGGACCTCATAAGCAGAATACCAGTGCACTACGCACTACGAACAGCTCGTCAAATTTTCATTTTGCCTATATGCCATATAGCTGTTATCTTCATGGATTCACCCGGCTGATAAGACCCGACCAAGTCGGAACGGCTGTACAGTGCTTTAGTTAACCTTTTGTTTGCTCTATACATGATGAAATTCACTGTGTAATCAACTCAGATTAACTAATTTCATGTAGGAAAATATCTTTCAGTCATGATAGTGTCAGTACTTTAACAAGGTTTTGGTAGGCAGCTTTGCTGTCGTCCGATTCAATGCCACGCCTAACCTCGTGGGGCTGTATGTGGTTCACACCTCAAGTCTCGGGGCTTAGGTTGCCGGTTTCCATCACTAAATAGCGGGACAACTAGACTGAGCTTCACTTCTGCTGTTCATCACACAAAATGTGTGATAAAACGGTTACGTGGTTTATACAACTTCAGGTTCTAACTGCCATGGTTTCGATGTCTTAACTCCTAATCAAGCATTTAGGCGCTTTTTAGAAACTTAAACTGCCTCTGTTTCACTTTTGTGCCGGTTGTTAACTTGATGTTACAGAGTTGTTCCTTTCTCTCACCATTCCCCTGCGATGAACGACTAAACAGTGGAATTCCTGCGTACCAAAGGGTTGTGTTGGGCGATGTAAACTTTTAATCAAAAATGAGGACTTGATCAGAAACAACACTTCCATTTAATCTCATATATATATATATATATATATATTTATATATATATATACCCATAACACCTGAAGTTTACGATGCAGTCAGATAATTAGATTTTCCTAGACCTAACTCAGTTTACATTCATGCACATTTGTAAACTGTTCTCATGCATACCATTCGGCCTGTATTCACTCACGAGACTTGTTTAATGCACAACGGTCGACAAGTGTTCCTTGGCTGACCAAGCGCCGTCAGAAGAAGCGTAAAGCTATCACGGTGGTGTTCGAAGTATACCGTCGAACGACTTCACCGGTTATCATGGTTATTCTCTAGCTAGTGCATATTGGTGATACAGAGGAGTCCAAATCACGTCAGAACAAGTGGATCGATTGCTTCCTCCATGGTTTGCACCGTACAACCATTTCCGGAGCTGGATCATTTTTGTGCGTTTCAAAGTGTCGAATTATTATTATCATTATATTTCACACACGCCTGAGGTCAGACTATGCCACACAAATCGTGGTAAAATAATATTTATAATCTTTGTAAAGTATTGAAATAACTTCTCTTAGGCGTTCTCATTCAGTTCCTGGTGCTAGGCCTAATTCTTACTTGCTTTTGTTTCTTACACGCAGGTTGTGTTCCGATCGCACATGCTGGTGATTACCCTGGGGGATTCTACTGTCCTTGTCACGGTAGCCACTATGACGCATCCGGGCGTATCCGCAGAGGTCCTGCCCCGTTGAACCTTGAAGTCCCGGAATACAAATTTCTTGACGAGAATACTGTTCTCGTCGGTTAACATTTGTTAGCTTCTCAGGACAGATCAACTACTTGAATTCTCTGAGTGTGGTCTCTCTAGTTGTAATACTATAGTCTTCTCAGATACTGTGCTTTCTCGCCGGCATCAACCGGACCGCTGAATTGTAGACGTTGTGAGCAAAACGCCTATTTGTGCCGAATGGTTTTCTTTTGTGTCTTATATAAGTACGACACCTGCTTGTGGAACTATCTATCAAATAACGGATCACTTCGTTTTTCGTTGAGTCTCCCCTTCATAAGACACAAAAGTCGTATTGTGTGGGATTGTAGTTTAACCGACCACCTTGGTACACAGAAGATGCAACATTTTGATAAAATCAATGAAGGTATGGATTCATTATGTCAATAGGGAAAAATCATTCAAGACGGCGTAATTTGTCATTGGTATTTGATACAAAGTCAATGTGCCAATGAAACTCCAAGGCCTCGATTCCCATCTGACGTTTAATTAGATCCATAGTTCTGAAATAATGTGCGGGTATATAAAAAAGTGTGGATCGCGAACAGTTTACGGAATACGGTATAATGCGTGTTCTTCATCCATGTACTAAATATCCACATAATCTTATCATGTCAATAATTGTCATATATCTCGGTTTGTTGTGCATTTTGCATGAATACTGTTATGTGGTTCCTAACAGGTTCGTTAATTCTGTCTCAGAATACGATTTTTCTATTAGTGTCGATCGTTCACAATCATCACGTTCTTTGGGTACGACATTGTAATTTGCACCCACCTGGGGTTCTGTGTCACATTGAATCTCGTCAGATTTTGAGTTAGGAGTGCTCAAACCCCTTTCGTTTCCGTAAAATCCAATGCTCATCCCACTGTCGTGCTCGGATAGAAGTTTACTTCTGCAAGAACCGTCTGAAGTAGCCGTGTGACTCAAATAATCATTTTTATTTTTGGGGCACTCCTCCTTTCGACAAGTGCAAATGCGACCGCGTCGTTTATCGATCGCGTCGATGTAACGCTTCGATGTACACTTTCCTCCTTCCGGATTAAGATTTTCCGAAATGACTGGCTCCCTCCAACAGACTGAGTCTCTCTCTAAGCTGATTGGCCGGTTGCATCGCCGAATTGCTTTTAATTTCTTGGTCTGGTTTTGTGCTCGGTGCTCCCGAAGTTTCTCTGATCTCTTTGATCCCGTGGCGAAAGTTACACGTAGTCTTGCTTCACCTTCAGTTTGTGGGCACCGTTCCGATCTCATTAGTTTACATCTAGGGCGACTGATTTCATGTGTTCTATTGCCACGGTCCCATCGATCTTCATCAGTCCATATTGCAGGCTCGGGTGATTGTCTCCGTTCAGCATCTCTAAAATACCAAAAGTAATACGTTGGTTGAACTGTTTGGTGACCACAGCACTGGTTGTTGTATCATAACAACTCCTTGTTTTTTTTGTCATCAATGGCACATCAATAAAGTTACCAACATCACGTGACTGCTCGTCTCTCCATTCACATTACATCTTCATTTAATACACTGCATGAAACTAATTCTTAATGTGTGGACATTTATTTGGTTGCTAGTGCTCAGGCAACGAAGAATAAACAAATTAGTTCTCACGGTCAGAAATGTCATTGTGCTAAGTCTATGCTCCGCTGCGAGGGTGTCTTTGCTTTCATTTCGGAACTTCGAGTATGAGATTTGACAACTTGTAACCCAATCTGACAGCGTACGGATTTTAATCAACCATTTTGAAGGCAACTGGGTTTGATACACAAGTGTTCCCCTATTTTGGTCTTCCTGCTAACATCACTGTTATTGGGGATAACAGAAAGTGCTCCTAGTCATTTGGTGGAGTGATAAAATAACCATACAGATTTTGACCTGTGTTCATTCCATACCATGACTTTAGGGCACTGCACACTTCGCAGATGGTGATGATGACGCCGTATCATTATAAAAATTTACCGTAATCATAACTGATAAATTAGGAACAACATAGGAACCCATAAGAGAGTGAATGTATCGTTCACCCAATGTGTATAATTTGTTCAGTATTCGTCGGTGCGCCGATAATGTACCCGAAATCCAGACCTGGTCCCAATCCGATGCTCCCGTTCACGATGACACCATAAGATAAAACTAGACCATGCGGTGTGCTCGCATCTTGAAAAAGACGATGGGAACCTTGAGCAGATACTTTGGTGAAATCACCGCATAGTGAATAATATTTGGATGAGTGACCGAAATCTCTTTGGAGGCGCACTGTTATCGTGTACATTCGGTATTTTTCGATCCATTCGTTCCTATTCAACTGCCCGAGAATATTTTAGCTACTCGAATAGTTACATCATAAATTGGCCGTCATGTTGACTTCATTGGGGTTGACGGTATCTAAGCCACCCAATTATGGTAAAATCTTTACCGATGCGAAACCAAAATTTTTTAATTTGGTTTTATTACGGATCCTTATACGTTCAAAGGAGGTTTGCAAACAAAACCCAGGTGTTCAGTGTCTCCAATTAATAATTAGATAGGCCCTGTCGTCCCCGACCAGAGAGAAACTAGCAAATTGACTTCCAATGATTTTGCAGCATCGCACCACAAAAATTGTGAGCCTATTGATTTTTAATATGTGCTGGTACAAGACCACTTTATGCAGCTAAGATTATCACTTTGGGTCTTCGTAGAACAGTGACTACTCCTTTGTTCTACTCACGAAGCGTCAGTACACGCACTCGATTTCAAAAAGGTGAATGTTGCATACCAGCATTGCCGGGTTCCCATACCAAGCGCGCATATGCATACGACTCAGTTTCTCAGGAGGGTAATGCATGTCAGTAGTAGTAGTGGATTCGATTCCGGTTTCAAATTGGGAAAGTTGGTTTTAGCTGAGGTAACGGTGGCGCAGTGGTTTAGTCACTGTCACCGACGTGCTTTGAACCCTATGGTCCGAAGTTCGGGTCCCGCCACCCAACTTTGGTGGCAGGCAGCTTTGCTGTCGCCCGGTTCTTTACCACGCCTGAGCTAATGGGGCTTATGTTGTTTACCACTCCAAGTCCCGGGGCTTAGGTTGCCGGTCACCATTACTGAGCAACAGGTCTTTGTGAATATGGGGTCCGCATCGACTGCTGTTCATCATGGGTGTGTAATAAAAAATGCACCTAATGAACGCTGGGTAGAACAATTTGAAGGATACCTCATCTAGATGACTAAAATTGCTGGGCAATGTTTTAGGACAATACGAACTGATATCAGATTGGGATCTACAACGCACAGAAAGCTGGGTTAATTATCTGGTAAGCTGCAAGGTTGACAACCCTGTAAGGCTATACAGGTGGCTCGACCAGCTGTGGTGTCCGATGTGACGAAAGTTACCTGTTCTACTTAAACAAGTCAGTAAGGGCATAATGGTTGTTGTGAACCGGCAGACGTACCGATTCACAGCAATGCTACGTCCTTTTAGGGAAACCCTTTCCTGTTTTAAGTGGATGAAAGCCGTATTCTCACTTCAATGAGATATTTTGTCGTTGATCGTCGAATGATAGGCACGGGTAAGGTTGTGTTGATCATAGATATTCACTCGAGTCTTGCAAACTTTCCTTGGATTTATTATTTGAGCCCATTTGACTCTTTTTACCTAATTACTGCTGGCTGCTTGTGGCGTACAAACCGGCTTCATGACGGTCACGAAGTTCTTTAAAATTTTGACACAAGAGACCTTTTAGTGTCATCCGGTTCTTTCGTGGAAGCACCTCTAGCCTTTGCTTATTGAAATGCGGACGACTCGGTGACGCACTGGGAGCTCACTCATCATTCGACTGGAGCGGATTCCGTCCAGGACTCCGTTCATTCTTGTTAGTTTCACAGCTTTCTTTTATGGCCTTCGGATCAGGCCGTAGATCTCATTCACGCACGCATTAGTAGCTGCTTTTGCATGTCGCATATCATCGTCTAGGTTTGAGGCTTCAGCTATCCTTTACCCAGTTCAGTTCAACTATTAAGCGACTTAGCGGGGTGTGGCCACTGGTGCGTGCTTCAGTGTCTTGGATCTACAAGTGAGAGTTTATGGAGACCAAATAGATGACCCCAAGAACGACAGCATGTTAGCCCATTGATGCCACTTTTCGCAGGTTTTCCATACACCCAACCTTAATTGCGGGTTCCATCACGGAATACAGCGTACCTATTGAAAATCATAAAGCATGTGTTCTTCGTATTCTATCGCGCTTTTTACTTTGTCACTAATTGATTGAACAACGCATCTAGGCTCATTCGATTTCAACCTTGTCTGGTGCTGCTAGAAGAGTGTTAGATATCTACCGTAAATGGTATGTATCGAGTATGTGCTTACAAAGCAGTTTATATATGTATATATATATATATTTACATATATATGTATATATACATACATCTCTCCGTTTATATATATATATATATATATATATA